GGGAGGAAGATCGACATTTCTTGGTTCGGGAACGTTGCCTTGTCACCTTTGCTCAGGTTCTATTCTTTTCGTTGGTGGCGTTCTCTTCAATCGTAGGAGCTGCATACTTCTTTCAATTTAGAAGCAATGCATTACAGCCTAGCTGGATCTATTGGTAGAGGCTCAAAGTTGTTTGTGCATGTTGTGCAGGAAGTGTCACAAATTCCATGACGGCTCTTCGCAACATGAGCGGGGACAACAAGAAGAAACTCGCTTGAATAATACACACACAATGACTCAAAGGTCAATCCGAGCTGAAGGGAAGATCCATGATTTTTTGAATGTGAGGCAATTCTGGCTACTCCGACGTTTCCTGAATCACAAAAAGATAGGCTGGGTGGACGAGTACGTAGAGCCGTCACATCCGCTGTTCATATCGCCTCTCTCAAGGTAAAACGACATCAGCGAGAATTATCCGCTTTTTGGAGCATCAGACTGCCAATCAGCAGGGTGATGTGAACCCAAGTCAGAGACACAGAATGCCTGCAGCAAGGAAGACTGTTTTGCCGCAAAATACACTTAGGCTCGATCATGATTCTGACCCTTCTCTCCGCACAGGGCTCAGGAACAGATGAGGAGGAACTCCTAGTGGCTTCTTGTTACTAGTAGTAAGGCACTTGTTACTAGAAGCGATGCACTTGTTCCTAGTAGCTTCTTGTTACTAGTAGTAAGGCACTTGTTACTAGAAGCGATGCACTTGTTCCTAGTAGCTTCTCGTTTCAGATTTTCCTCAAATTCATGCCGAGGAACCATTGAAGAATCTCTTAGCATATGAACTGAGCAAGAAGCACGTCGAACTTCACCCGTTCTTCAACCACCTTGAGCAGCTTGGTCTAGGCTAGTGTTGGTTCAATCTGCTTGGTCTAGGCTCCATTGCATTCTTTGCCGACTCAGGAAAGAAATGAGTCCAATTCTCGTGAAGCTGTGTGACACGGTCCTTTCCGCAGTCGATTTAGCCAGCCATGCACCCAGGATCATTGAGATTGTTTGGAGTTGCAGTAAGCGCAAGCCAGTCTGTTAAATGCGCATCTACAGTCGTTGCACTGGGCAGATGTAAGGTGAAGACGTCGTTTTTCATCCTGGGGAAGAGGGGGAAAAGATGTACTTTGTCAAGAGCGGAAACTTGGAGTGCGCAAGGGGCTGCAGTTGCTTGATTGTCGCCTATTTGTTCGATCATGTCATTGTCACTGCAAAATAACCCACAAAAACGAAGGCAAACCGAACATTAAAAACACACAGGCAAAGCAGGTTTCAAAGTGAAGTAAAGCAAACATCAAGTTTGCATAAAAAGACATAAAGATAAGCAAGCTATTAGGTTGGGGGCCATCGCTACTAGGTTAGAGGCCATCGCTACTAGGTTGGAGGCCATCGCAAGTCACTACAGGTACATGCTCCCCAATGGCGATGTCCTCAAGCCTCGCCTCCGAGAGAAGGCACGAAATGTGCGGGGGCGCATGTGCCCTCTGACACAAACATTCACGTTCGACTCGCAAAGGAGAAGAGGTACGAAATGATCAATGATGTTGCCAATGCATTCTTGATGTCGACAATCTTTGAAGAGGGAGTAAGAGGTGGAGGATATGGTTGGTCTTGTGGTTTGAGAGAATTGCAGTTGGCCAGGCATGGTTGTCCGAAGCAGTTCTGTGGACAACCTGGTGGCACCGAGGTGAATTCAAGGTACAGAAGCAGTTCTTTTGAGCTTTACAGCTTGAGCGAAGGCATCCCTTACTGCTTTCCAACCGGCATTTTCATCGATCGTAGGCCATTGCTCCTTCACAACTCGCTGTCATCAGACCTGGTCCATTCGCAGAGGTGCCAAAGATCGACCATGTAAGGTGTTTCTTGCTCTCATGACTGTCCAAGGTTATGAAGATACACCCGCGACCTTGGAGCTTTTGCAGGAACTACGCAGAACTTTTTGTGAAGTGACTTGGCCAGTACACCTATCGGATCTTATGGGCCACAAATCACTTTCAAGGTATTCCACGAAGTGACTATATATGCCTCGAACGTGAAAGCTTTTTGGCAAAATGGCATGCGACACAGCGCTGAGGTATCTCAACCAGAAGAGTCACAAAAGTACACTGACGGATGCCAGTCCAGCTTTGTTTTTTTTACCTTCAGTCCTGGGTGATGTGCTGGATTTGACTTTGATGGGACAAGTTGCTGCTGCTGCCCATCTTCTTTTGCCAGGTCATTTTGAACTCCGACTATTTTGGCAGCCACAACATCATGGGCTGTGACAAGGACTTTGAAGTCTGGTCCCCATAGTGTCAGAGAGTCATAGAGTACGATAGTGCATTGAACCTCGTTGTGCCGCCGTGCTAAAAGCCAACCTTCATGGCTGAGGTTGATATGGCCTGCAGGAAGACGGCCATAAATTTGGCGGAAAGGCTGAAGTTTCTTTTTCTTTCACAGATAACATCCCAAAAACAAACTTCAAAGGTTAAATTCTTGTTCGCAGTGAGAACAGTTCAGTCCAAGACTTATACAATGTTAATATAAGCTTTTCCAGCAGAACGGGTAGTAAGGAAAGCCTGCTTGTTCGTAGTAGCAGGGGGCAGTGACATCCTGGGGGAAAAGGATCGGTGACTGCCTGTTTTTCGAGTGAAGATGCATCCCTTCGGAAGAATCGCATTCTTGAAGAATTGCTAGGCCTGGAAGTTTGCCAGCAGAGGTGGCGCCAGAAGATCCTGCTCCTCCTGTGCCAGACGAACATGGACCGCTACCATTCTGATGGGCTTATATTGTATTCTTTTGTTTTGCACTTGAGCTTTTTGTTGAGGGTATATGATGTTTTATCCAGCCGAGTCTAAGTCCATTTCATCGTTGAAAGGACAGTTGCCGCCAGACGAACGTATTGAAGCAGCGAGTTGCTGAGGTCTTCAGATCATTTGCAAATTTCCCAATTTGCCGGCAAGAATCAGAACAACACAGGGTGAATTCAGCTCTTGTTTGCGTCACACCTATTGTGACCAGAGAATGCTCCTTTGGTAGATCATTCTCTCAGTCTGCTGTTGCCAGCAAAACAGGTCAAGTTTCACAGATTTGCGAACATTGTGGCAAAGAACATGTCCCAAAGTTCATGTCCAGAGAAACCCAGAAGTGCGATCATTTGTGGCGGTTGGAATTGGAAGGACACATACCTGAATTGTCTTGCGGGATCAATAGAATATCTTTTCCTTGTCAAAACCCGCCTGGACTTTGCACTTCTAGTGGCACTGCGGCTGGGCTGGGCTGATGAAGCAGCACAGCCTGTTCTGCTACCAATTAGGTGCATGGTGTGATACCGCTAGCACCAATTTCGAGAACAAAAGACATGTGTGGCATGTGGCACCCGTGGCTTGTGGCCCTCCACTCTAAAGCATGCCACGCTGCTGGCATTGGCATGCATCTGCTAAGATATGCCGCGCATTGTTCCTGAATGCTCAGTGTTGGAAGCGTTCTTGGAGGAAAGTGCCATAGTGCCCTTACATTTGCAGTAGGCATCAGATGGCAGATGATAGCAGCATTTGTGGTAGACATCATTCAAAGGAACAAGGCCTTCAGAGAGCCTTGCAAGTGTTCCGGGAAGCCCAGAAGATAGTCAAGAGACCTAAGACCATATCTGAGTACGATGCACTCAGCAGATCTAGTAAGTAGCGACTGCCCAAGCGTTCGGTGCCCGACTCGAACAAAAAGCAGACTCAGCGCAAGGCAAAGTGACGAAGACTAGACACAGCTTGACAGCCTGAGAGCCTGAGCTCGACAACGGGATGGCGCCGTCACCAGCGGAGGCACGCTTCTGCGCAGCCTTGCCCGACATGCTTGAGAATCCTGAAGCTGCGCAAGTGCTGTGCATAACGACATGACAACGACATAATGTGAAACGATACACATGCAGACCTGCTGTCTTTCGTGCTCCCTGCTCCAAGGGGTTGGAGACTTAGTTTTCTCTTCGCTGTGGAGAGATATCACTTGCATTCAGTTTCGCTTTTCGGCTGTTTTCATCTTAGGTTCAAGTGATATCAACATACACAGTTGCCGCATGGCCTGCACTAGGAACACAATGACCATACAGACACAATTGTTCTTGAAGCATTGTGGAATGTTTGTGACGCCTGCGCCTGCTACGCATTGCTGTTGGAAAGCTGTTTCGATCTCTTCCACATAAGAAGGCCGACGTGGATAGCAAAGATGAGAGTTGACCTTGTGCAAAGTTTCCCGGAACCACACGTTTGAGACAACAAAAGAAGACGGTTCTTCTGGCAGACACCATATACTGTATCAAGAACATATTGTTCATTGCGACCGCATGGACCCAGTTGACACGGTGGCCAAGCTAAATCTCCGGACCCAGTTGACCCAGTTGAGGTCAACTGGGTCAACTGGGTCAACCGGGGTCAACTGGGTCAACTGGGACACCCTGTTCAACTGGGTCAACTGGGACCACAGATTTAGCGGCCCCTGTGCCGACGCACTCATATTTGTGTTTTTTTGCTCGCCAAGCTTTGTTGGGAACACCCATGCTTGTGGTGCCTTGTCAGTGATCTATCACCAACATGAAACAGGACATTCAGCCACAAGTGTGCAACTGTAGACAGACTGAGGTTTTCGGAAGCTTCAACATGTTGGGAGTGCTCATGGGCGGGTGCTTTGCCTTTACCATTAGCTTTCCAGTCTACAACCCCTTCTGAAAGGTTCCACTATGCGTGGTGGATGTGCGATTCACAAAAAAAGAAAAAGTGAGTTCAGACTCAGTCAGAGACAATGTCAAAGATAGACATCCAAACCTGCTGCTGCAGGCCTAGGGATATCCAGGCTCGTTCTGTTGTCCTGGCTACCGTTGAGTTTCTCAAAATGCAACGTACTCAGAACATCCAAGCTGCCTTTGCGGTAAATAAAGCACAAGTTGTGCCCATTGAGAATGTCCAAGGATGGTGCACACATTCGCACTCTTTGCTGGCTTCAAGGGCTTGATCGGGGTTCTACTAAAAGATGTGGTGCCTTTCCACGTTTTTGACGACTTTTGTCTTGAAGGAAGGTGCAGGACAGAAGGGCATGGATTCAATCTGTCAAACCTTGCACACCAAGGCCACCTTGCCGTTTGGTTCAAGTGAAAGAAAGGAACTAGCTTGGAAGCCAGCCTGCTCAAGGAAGTGGGATGGGCACATCATGTTCTTCTGGCATACGCAAAGCCATCATGGGCGGCGGTTCACACAAGGTCTGCGTTTGCGGCGGTGCTGGTGGGATTGGGCAGCCGCTGTGCTTGTTGATGGCCATGGATCCCAACGTCAAAGAACTGGCCATTTTTGATCTCAATGTCGCGATGGTGCCTCCAGACGGAGTCGCTGCTGACCTGGGTCACATCGAGAGTAAGGTCAAGGTGACTGGACATTCTTTGAATGTCGGGAATGCTCCCAAAGACCACTTAACCGAGTGTCTATCAGGCTGTAGTTTAGTTCTTGTTGCTGCCGGAATGCCGCGCAAGCCTGGGATGACAAGGGATCATCTCTTCAAAGTGAATGCAGACATTGCCAAGGGCATTGTCGAAGCTTCCGCGAAGTTTTGTCCTCAGGCTGTTGTCGCATTGATTGTGAACCCGATAAATTCAATCGTGCCTGCAATGGCTGAGCTTTACAAGAAATCCGGACTTGACCCGTTGAAGATAGTGGGAGTCACAACACTGGACTGCGTTAGGGCCAACAAATTTGTGGCTGATGCTGTTGGTTGTCATCCTAGTAGTGTGGAAGTTCCGGTTATTGGAGGCCATTCTGGAGTCACCATCATGCCGGTTTTTTCACAGGATCCAATGGCAACAAAGATCAAGCAATCGACACTGGAAGCATTGGACAAGAAAACTCAGGATGCTGGCACAGACGTTGTAAATGCAAAGAATGGTAAAGGCTCTGCGACGTTGTCAATGGCCTATGCAGCAGCGCGCTTAGGGAAAGCCATCCTTGCTGGAATGTCAGGCACGTATTCCACGGAGTGTGCCTATGTCAAGTCCGATGTCACCGAGCTCCCCTATTTCAGTTCTCGTGTTGTCTTTGGGAGGGGTGGTGTCAAACAAGTCCTGGATATTGGACTTCTCAACGAATATGAGCCTTGCCTCCTCAAGAGAAAAGTTTTTTGATATTGAAGGCTTTTGATTGTCGCCGGCACATTCTTTTGGTCTCCGCCGAAAGTATCCTTTGTTTGCCACACGGAGTTTGGAGTCCATAGTCCCACCAAGGAAGAGACACGGCTTGAGGAAGTTATCGCTGCTTGATCGCACCTGAGATTGTCAAGGGTCCTGGTTCCTGAAGCAACAATCACTGACCGGTCTTGAATCTTGAACATAAACACAACCAAACATCCAGAAAGAAGTACCAAACATAATATGTTGCAGGTTCCCATTTACGCATTAGCTATATATATATATACATACATAGAATTGTACTCAATCCACTCTGTAAGAGCGGAAGAGGAGGCACTCTTTTTCGCAGTGAAAGCAAGTGACAGCTTTGGAATGTTCAACATCTAGATTCAGACAAAAGCTATCACTGAGGTTCAGCTGAAATCTGAAATTCAGACTGGTCTCAAATATGCAGAGCAGCGGACTCTCGGCAGGTGAGCTAGCCAAGCCGTGACCTAAGCCGAGAGTCCTTCCAAAGGAGCTTTGGCGGTTTCACAGTTTCACCGAGTCTTTCACAAATCGTTGAACAATTATTGGACTGCCGCGCCGCCATATTTAAAGGACTTCACACCCTGTAACTTGATTTTGACAAGTTCTCTTTTGCCAGTATGATAGTTATGTCAAAAGGTCAGTCAAGAACAAGCTGTTTTAGTGTGAGTGTGTTGTTCAAGGCGGTGTCAGCGTCCATACGCATTTTCATGCAGCAGAGTATGCATCTTGGAAAAGAGTGTGCTGCAAGGGTTCCAGCTTTCTCACAGTTTCATCCATTCCTGAACTTTTAGCTCGATGTGCCAGGAGCGTCTCCGTGTTTTGATGCTGTATCATGTTTGCTCGTTGCTGCTTCTTTGTTTGGAGCTCGTGGTTGGCTTTGTGAAGGCCTGGGCGCAAAAGCCCAAATAGTTTGCTTGCAACATGCTGTGCGGGCCGTGCAGGGATGTCAGGAGCTTGAGATGCTGCAAAAGATTACTCATCGGAAAGAGATCCTGCAGCGGTCTTACTATGGCAAAACATTGGCCTTCTATCTCTCATCGCTTATGCCAATTCTCAAAACCTTTGCAGAATGAAGACATGGACACTGAGGAAAATGGACTGCAATACATACCAGGCCTTGGGCAGCCCGAAGTACGTGTTTTCTTTGTCTTGCTACTAGTAGCGTCCTTGCTCCTAGTGCTTGACATTCGGCATTTGGAGCCCTTTGGAGTGCATGTGAAAGTCCGCAATGATTTGTAGCTCTAATAGCGATGCCCTTTGTTACTACTAGCGAGGCACTTGTTACTAGGAGCTTCTGGTTACTACTAGTAAGGCACTTGTTACTAATAGCAAATTAGCTACTAATAGCGATGCCCTTGTTACTAGTAGCGATGCCCTTGGCTACTAGTAGCATCCTTGCTACTAGTATACTCAATGCTTCGCGAGGCGCAGCTATGTGTGAAATTTGTTTTCCAAGCAGGCACGCCATTGTTAGTATGTAACATGTTCGAGGACAATTTGTCGGATGCCAAATTTGTTTTCGTCAAGAAGTGCTGCTACTACAGGCTTAATGACCTACTTTGCCTTTATCATTTGGAGCCTCATTGTGCGCATTGAGGCCATAGATGGGACTGACGGCCAAGTCAATCTTTCCCGTTTTCTCTCTCTCTCTCTACACTTGCAAGTGATTATACATCAACATTATAAGAAAACGTTTCCAATGTATTGATCATCCTTTGCTGATTTGCATCATCTCCGACATACAAGGCTGGTGAGCTTGGCGAGCCATCACTACTGCGAGAGCAGGACGTGCCAATTGATGTTTCTTTGCAAACATTGTTACTAGTAGTATGGCCAGGAGCCCCTAGTAGCGTCCTTGCTCCTAGTAGCGATGCCCTTTGTTACTAGTAGCGTCCTTTGTCAGCATTTCATGCCTTTCCAACAAGGAGCTTGCTGACCGGGCCCTTGGGGATCCTTGGTACCCTGCCAGCACAAAGAGCAAGAGTGAGTGGACTTGCAGAAAGGGATTCCACACTGGGACAAGCGGCCTAAGAATCAAGTGCTTCCATGATTGAGAATCCTCAACCTTGCATGTAAGTAAGCTGTGCAAGCTGCTGTCAGGCTCTTTGTCCAGACCCCTGGTGAATCAGCCACCTTCTTGAGACGTGTCCAAACCTTACGCCTCTGACTGCGACATCCTGTCTTGTATTAACTCCGGAAGAAACACAATGTCGCAATGCAGGAATCGAGAGGTCACAATGTCAGAAGCCAAGAATAAACACTCGCTTTTTGGCCGCACAAGTTCTTCGAGCATTTGGCCAGGCAACTCCTACTCCCTTCTCAGGAGTGCCCAGAAATCTGGAAGATCACGCTGTGGGCTCAGATGATGAGAGTCAGTTCTTTTCATCAGATCTCCAAGCTTTGGACAGGAATCTCAAGGACATGAGCAAGGATCTGTGGAAGCATTTCAAGGAACTCCATACCGTTTGGAGTGACGTGCACATCTCAATCGGCTTCTTGTGACTTGTGTGGACTGGCTGATGTTAACAAGTCAGTTGATCTGAACCTAGTGCGACATCAACAGGCTTGCAAGGCTTGCCTTGCTCACCTTGAAGCCTAGAAAGACCTGAGTGCTTGGCAAGGGGAGCTACTTGCATGGTTTCACCAATGTGATATAGCCCAATCCAAAGCGTTGTGGCACCAACTAGTCATCTCAAAGAAGTGAGAAAAGAAGCTCAGATTTTGAACAGGTTTGCTATTCTTGCAGCTCTTTGTAAATAGAGCCACACATCTTGATAGTGTGTACACTATGCTGCACCATTCTGCACTGTTCAACAGAAGCAGCTGTTCTTGTTCACATTCTCAAGATCTGCAATTTGAAACTGGGCGGACATGATTATGAATGCTTAGAATAGATTCGAATAGAGACCTATTCGCCCAAGTAAACAATTCACACCCAATATTTGTCAGACCACTTCGACAGAGGCAGAATGCGTCGTCCAATGCCAGATTTGCAATGGCTGAAGAGGTGCCCAGACAAACCACTCGGAAGCACCCAGCTTCCCCCAAAACCCTGCGTAAAGTGTAAGAATGTTACAAACTCCGGAGTTGTCGACAACTTAGAAGGCAGGCACAAAACTGACGAGTTGTGACATAGTATACTTGGAAATCTATCAAGGATAAGCAATTCAAGTTGGTGCTGCAGCACGCACACGAGACAACCGCCAACAAGTGTGTGATTTGGACGGTCAGACTGAGACCGTCTTGAACTACTCACTTGCTTACCACTTGTGCAGGTGATCTTCAAAGGAGCTCCTGTCATAATCAAAGGGCTCCAAAAGGAAGAGTGCACCCCTTAGCCATTAACGAGCACCTCTTTATTCGGTGACAGTTTAACAAACGAAGAAAATACTGTGCATAAAAGAAAGGAAAATGACTGACTAGTCCGAAGCTCAAAAGAAAAACAAACATATAACATATTCACTTATCAACATAAGACACATATAACAGGGAAAGAGAATTAGACTCAAATGGCAAGACTTCGCAGGTCTGTCCGGTACAATGGCCAGAAGGGAACGGTTACGGCTGGTCCATTTGACAACGGACGCTACGAGGCCTTCAGATGCCTCTTGCCCCACCTTACCACCTTTTCCTTAGTGAAGTGTGTGAAAAGCGAAGTATGCATGAATGAACATATATATATATATACATAATTATAAGCAGTGCAGTGATTTGTCCTAAGATTTTTTGGCTTTTGCAAGTCATGGTGTTTCCTGCTCGCTCACAGTGCCTTGATGTTTCTGCATTTGACTACTCTGTCACACTGTGCTTCAGTGAGTCTGAGTTCTTAAAACCCCACAGAAAGGTCACCTGCATGGATTTCGCTAAGTTCCTTATAGCCTGCATTTCGGCCGGAAATTCTACATCACACCGTTCCCGCATTGATGCATGCGAAACACAGCGGCATGTAGAAGATTGGACACAACTCGAGATGTTTGTGTTTACAAGGGAACAATTGTGCTTCAGGTGACTTTACAGGGAGGAGGCTACAAGGAAGACAAGGCCTGCGTACAGAGGATGATTTGCTTGCAAACATGCTGGAGAGGTGCACTGAGACAGTTTGCCAAATCGACAGTCAGCCGTAGCTGTACCTTAGCATGATACTGTATATATATAACATATATAACATACGTATGTAATGTATATAATGTACTGTACTGTACTGTGCTGAAATGTATGGTGGTATGTATAAAATATCCCAGCGACCTGAAAGCTGACAAACTGTGCAACGTCTTTGTGAAGTGCCTTTCCGTCGTTGGCATTTTGGCCCCCACCTCGCAATGGTACTGTAAGCAGAACACGTGGGTTGAATGTGATTTGCAATAGCCACAGCATTGGTCTGTGCAGCTGGCAGAACTTGGAGCGCAAGTGCTGACAAAATGGATTGTAGGATGCTTGTCTACGGTCGGCCAAAGCTCGGAAGGCTTCATTGGTTTAGTCAGCCAAATATCACTGTTGAGTCACATTGTTTGTGCGCTGGTCTCGGAAAAGATCCAGTCACCCAGCACGGAATCCATTTACGGTATGGAGAGGGAGGAGAATTTCTGAGAAGGGGAGGTTAGAGACACAGATTAAACATGGTATGCAATTGGTCAAAGAGAACAGGAGACGATTCAGAAACTAGCTCCAATTCCGAAACTATGATTCAGAAACTTGCGATTATGATACTACAGAGTGTCCTGATTCAGAAACTCACCCGATTCAGAAACTAGCCGATTCAGAAACTGGGTGGGTGGGATGGGGTGGGGATCTAATGAACTGTTTGTGTTGATGTAGCGTGGACATATTCCCGATTCAGAAACTATCCGATTCAGACCCGTTCTAGTTTCCTTTCCGCGCTCCTTCTAGTTTCCGAATCCTAGTTTCCGAATCCACGCCGTGCCTAGATTCCGAATCCGTGGCCACCCTAGTTTCCGAATCCGCAGTTCTAGTTTCCGAATCCGCCGTTGACCTGGTCAAAGAAGTGTGCCAAAGGAGTCAAAAAGAGTCAGACAGGCAGTAGCACCTGCATCATTGGAGGTTCTGGCGTTAAAGCCATCAAACTTCCAGCTGGACTTGGATGCACTACAGGTAGGTAGCTTTGTTTGCGTTAATTTTGCAGTAACTTTGCCTCATTTCGGCGCTTGAGGAATATGTGATCAAGAAACGAATCGAGAAAGCGAGGCGAGATATAGTGCTGGAGGACTGCAAACAAATTGGAGAGTGTGACGTGTCATTTCAGGTTGTCCCACTAGAAACACAGAGACGTGCAATGTCATCTTTACTGTCTAAAGTTCACAAACAGATTGTATTCTTCTTTATATTTGCCTTATTTCTCTACGTGAAGAAGAATGCGCACTTTGACAGGATCTCGCGGTGCTTTGGACCAAAGGCAAGGGTCTATCTGCCAAGAGTTTGACATGGAGAAGAGAGAAGGTGCCAACTATGATATTCAAGTCGGACCAGCGAGCAAGTTTTTGCATGCAAATGCTGTACATCAGCGAGGCAACATAACACATATAAAACCAGACTTAGCTCAAGAGAACAATGATTGAGTCGCAAGGGCATCGGGCTCAAGGTCATTGCTTCGGCAATTTGGGTCCGAATGTCCGACATTTCACAACTTGATGTCAGCTGACACGACAAAACAACTTCATGTGCAAATGCTTTCCTTTGGACACAACATGAGTAGTTGCCTGTTGGAGGTCCACCTGGGACATGATCCGTTTACTTTCAGCCAATTGATTCTAGTCAAGCCATGATTGGAACGCGCCAGCTAAGCCTGCGCACTTTTCTGTGCCCAAGCCCCTTCATTTGGGTCTTCTTTGCTTCTTGGCTGGCTTCCTGGGCATCTTGCGCGGCCACTGCGATTGAAGCTCCCGAGCCAGAAGTCGCACATTTGCGAGCTGGAGGAGGGCGACGACAAAATGCGATCTACAAGTATTATATTAGTAGCCTTTCCAGCGGCGCTTCAGATCTTGCTCCAAAGGCTCCTATTGACCTTGAGATTGCCAGCACGGAGCCAATTCCGGAACAAGCGGCTGAACAAGAAGCCAGGGATCAAGGGATATGGCCTGCAGTGGTCATGTGTGCACTTTTTGGTGTGGGTAGTATTCTATTCCGATTCTGCTGGATGTGCAAACGTCTGGGATGCTGCAAGTCAGGCACCATTCCTCTCCATGGGTATGCATCAGTTCCACGCTCTGAGGTAATTGGACATGAGTCCGTGGTACATGGTGCTGCTCTTACTCTGGCTCATCAACCTGTGGACCAAATCGGGGAGCCAGTGCCAACACAGTTTTTTCTATATTGGGGATGAAAGTGCTGTGGAGGAGTCTCAGGCAGTGAGTGGTTACAATTCTGAATCCCTTCCAACTGAATCAGAACCAGAAGCTGAGCTGTGCCCAGATGCACCAACATCTGGTGCTGATCAATCAGATCAAGCTCAAGCTGTGGTGGAACTTCCTCGATTACCACAGCCTATGTTTCAGCCTGTCGCCGCTCAAATGCTCCCGGAATTGTATGTTCAGCCTGATGAGGCCACTTGTTCAGCCAAGGACAATTCTCGATGCCGTTTGCTCATGTTGTATGCATCCCCACTTTGCCGAATTGACTCTCGCGGACCTTCTCCACTGCCAAGCCTCGGCTTTGAGAAGGAGTGGAAAACAGTCCTGAAAGCCTCCGCAGAAGCGCAGAGTGGTCCGTCAACATTTGCAGCGCGCCCTCTCACTTCAGGACCGCCTGGACCAGTTGCCTTGTTTCTTTACAGTAAACGTAAGTGTGGTCAGTGTGGTTCATTGTGGTTCTATTGAGCAACTTGAGAGCAAGGACCAAGGATAAATACAGATACTGTAGTCAAATCTGGCGCATTCTTTTCTTTTTCTTTATACAGTACATATCATGGCTTCTTGTCTATACAACGAAATCGAAACACAATTGCGAGATCCATCCTTTTCATTCTTCGAATTCCATTCGCACCCATCCTCCACGTCATCCACTCCTGGTTCTGGTCCCTCCTCATTTTGAGGCGCATCTCATCCCGATTCTTCGATCAAACACATCTTCGGATGAACACCTTTCCACCCGCCAGCCACCTTTCCTCCATCCGCCTGCTCCCCGCGGCGCCCTTGCTCCTAGTAAAGTAGTAAGGCCAGGAGCCCCTAGTAGCATCCTTGTTCCTAGTAGTAAGGCCAGGAGCCCCTAGCAGCGCCCTTGCTCCTAGTAGTAAGGCCAGGAGCCCTTGTTCCTAGTAGTAAGGCCAAGAGCCCCTAGTAGCGTCCTTGCTCCTAGTAGTAAGGCCAGGAGCCCCTAGCAGCGCCCTTGCTCCTAGTAGTAAGGCCAGGAGCCCCTAGCAGCGCCCTTGCTCCTAGTAGTAAGGCCAGGAGCCCCTAGTAGCGTCCTTGTTCCTAGTAGTAAGGCCAGGAGCCCCTAGCAGCGCCCTTGCTCCTAGTAGTAAGGCCAGGAGCCCCTAGCAGCGGCCTTGCTCCTAGTAGTAAGGCCAGCAGCCCCTAGTAGCGTCCTTGTTCCCAGCGCCCTTGCTCCTAGTAGTGAGGCCAGGAGCCCCTTGCTCCTAGTAGTAAGGCCAGGAGCCCCTAGTAGCGTCCTTGGGCCAGGAGCCCCTAGTAGCGTCCTTGTTCCCAGCAGAAGGCCAGGAGCCCAAGTAGTGTCCTTGCTCCTAGTAGTAAGGCTAGGAGCCCCTAGTAGCGTCCTTGCCCCTAGTAGTGAGGCCAGGAGCCCCTAGTAGCGTCCTTGCTCCTAGTAGTAAGGCCAGGAGCCACTGGTAGCGTCCTTGCTCCTAGTAGTAAGGCCAGGAGCCCCTAGTAGCGTCCTTGCTCCTGGCCAGGAGCCCCTAGTAGCGTCCTTGCTTGTAGTAGTAAGGCCAGGAGCCTCCTTGCTCCCAGTAGTAAGGCCAGGAGCCCCTAGTAGCGTCCTTGCTCCTAGTAGTAAGGGCAGGAGCTCCTAGTAGCGCCCTTGCTCCTAGTAGTGAGGCCAGGAGCCCCTAGTAGCGTCCTTGCTCCTAGTAGTAAGGCCAGGAGCTCCTAGTAGCGTCCTTGTTCCCCTAGTAGCGTCCGTGTAAGATGTACAATGACCTCATGAGAAAGGATGTAGTGGATGCAAAATAACTGTTGATCAGTGGGTGCCCGCTGGCACGTAAGTTAGGAAATTATGGTTTTGGAGGAGAAAAAAGAAGTCGTTTCACAATTTTTCTCCATCGATTCCCCAACTCACGTCAACCTTCTGGGCCTCCAACTGAGACCCCCATAAGTCCGCATGGTGAAGTATGTATCACGCGGCCATACACCCTGCAGCGGCACGAGCGCCCAAGTTCCAATGCACGCACGATAGACATCTGGCAGCAGCACCCTGCAGCGGCGCTAGCGCCCACACTCCAAAGCGCTCCCTGCCTTGCACCTTCAACCAGCACCTCCAAAGCGCACTCAGGCAACTTGCCCTAAACTTGAAGAACCCCAATAGCCCTCCCAAGGTGGGAAAAGAACCATATGGAACCAGTCTCAAATGCTCACACACCCGCTTGCCCGTAGGCCTGCGGGCCCACAGAGCCCGCAGGCCCGCGCAGTTCCCTATCAGCCACTTGAAGTCGGGGATGGTGAAGTGTTTGCTCGCACGAACTTCCTGTTGAATTTGCCGCTGACTTATGGCTGCGCTTTAGTTTCATGCCCATGCGATGGGCATATGTACAATCCGACCTCCTTGGTGTTCCACCTATTGTCGACCCTCCCAAGATTGTTGTTTTTGTTTCACCATTGAGCCTAGAACACAAGTTCTTGGAGAGACCTTGATTCTTGCTCAGATTTACTCCATTGTTTTGATGTCCAGTGTCCTGATGCTGCCTGCTGCCTTTTCACTACAGCATAATTTGCATGTGTGCTTTACAACAATGGTCTCCGGTCTTTGTGATGAGGCAGCCTCCAACGAGCTTTGTCTGCAGCTACTTCGGGCAACACAATTCTTCACCTTAGTGCACATGGAACACCTGATGGTCTAATACTCGAGGATGGAAAGGGCAGCGGCTATGTGTTGAGCTGTGACCTGCTTCAAGAGATGTTGGCATTGAGAGAGAAGTCAAACGGCTGCGAAGTGGTCGTGGTGAATGCATGCCACTCTCGCTCTGTGGGTGAGCTTTTAGCAGATTCCGTGCCTCATGTGGTATGTTGCAATGATCGTGTCTTAGACACCTGGGTGGACCTTTTCATGCGCAGCTTCTACACTGCGCTTTTCGGTGGGAGCACAGTGGCCTCAGCGTTCAGCACTGCCAGCTTGCAACTGCAGTGCCAGCCTGGGATTCCCCCAGAGGCGGGTTGGTCAAGTGCAAAAGACAAGAGAAGAATATAGAAGGTAAGAGTTTCTGTAATAAGGCTCCCTTTAAGGGGGGCCTTATTCCAAGGGACCCTTACCTTCTTTCTTCTCTTGGACCACAGACTGTGTTGTGCATTCATTGGCCAGGCCGCTCAGTGCTTTTGCTTGCTGCCTGAAGCTAACGTGCGCTTCTCAGTACCCGAATTGTGTGAACTACTTTGTAGATCGTTGTGGGGTGGGAATTATATATTATCCCGTAGGAAGACCGATTTTTTTCATACATCACTACCTGTTGGGAAAGGAAAATGACAGGACATGAAAGAGCTGACATCAAACGCAGTATTTTGTGCATTAGAATAACCCAGGAAATGAAGGGGAATGAGTGCAAGAGGAATGTTTGGAATGACAAGACAATGAAAAGAAGCCCTTCTTTTGCTGCAAGGGTCAAAATTGTTGCACAGATACTGATGGATTTCATGAGCCCATGTGTATCTCGTGCAGCAAAAGATTTGCAAACCTGCTAGACTTTTCTGCTTGACTTTGTTTTCACCGGAGATGTTGAGCCAGGCCGAGGATGGTTCTGGGTTCCCACACATCTCCCATTGTTCTCCAATGTTTCCCACTGAACAAGGACGCTACTAGGGGCTAACATACTACACACACAACTTTGAATGCGCAAGATTGTTTGCCGAGGCCCATGACGAAGTCATGTTTGCACGGAGGCTGCTCATGCCGACAACAACAAGCTTGCTGTAAAAAAGGCAGTCATTGCAGAGATCATTTCATGCGACATGTCAGGCCTGCTGTGCGCAAATCCTTAAGGACAGAATGAACTACTTCAAATCAAACAGGCCTTTTGAACAATCTGCCTGGGCCGGAATTTTGCTCCAGGATTTCCAGCATGCCCTTTGAACAGCCGCTGTTGGGGTCTGAGGTGCTTCTTCTTCGGAGTGCCTCTCATAAGTACCATAATTGTCGACTGTACACTGTACACCCAGTAGAGTCGAGCCTTTGTGTGTTTCGAAGCCCTTTCACCATGTGAGTGTGGCGAACGGTTCTCTGAGCTAAGAAATTAGTCAGTGAGTGCATTCAGGATCCTTGTGTCATTCGAAACGTCT